CCCCAAAACCCCAAAACCCCAAAACCCCAAAACCCCAAAACCCCATTAAAAGCTGTATAATAGTATTTTATGAAAATCAATAAGGTCAGTTGCTTGCTGCTAGGTACTAGTTTGATCATCAATGCATCCCTGGCATTGGTCGGCCCATTTTTCCCAGGCGAGGCTCTCGAGAAAGATATTGATATAAATATAATCGGGTACATCTTCAGTGCATATCCCTTTTCTTTTGTAATAATATCACTCATAATGCCGAAAATACTCAACAGGTATAGTCAGAGATTCATGTTCATAATTGGGTCAATCACCTATGCATTATCTGTAATAGGCTTTGGCTTACTCGTATTAGTTGACGAGGACTTCTTCCTAGTGCTTGCAATAGTCCTCAGAATTCTCCAAGGAGCATCCAACTCGGTGGTTTATACTACTGCATACTCTGTCTTCTCAATGCAGTATGAAGGACATGACATTATGCAGATTAATTCATACTTTAAGGTGACTCTTGGAGCAGGGCTGGTTATAGGCCTCCTTACTGGAACTTTATTGTACATGATCGGCGGCTATTGACTGCCTTTCATCACATTCGGAGTGTTCTTTCTCTTATCTATTCCTTGAGTCATTGGATACTTCCCTTCAAAAATTCAGACTGAGAGCCAAATCCAGGGGCAACTGCTTCAAAATGAGAGCGGAATTCAAAATCAAAGCGCGAGGTTAATAGTTAACTTCAATCAGGAAGAAAATGTGGAAAATCTTGAAGACCACCGACAGTCATCAATCAAATCTGCAATAAGAGGGGAGTCAGAATCTGGAAACAGAACACATAAATATTCCTTTGATCATGAGAAAAAGGAAACTTTTGAGCTTGAGAATTCAAACTCAAAGTCCTCACAAGGAGAGAAGAATTGAGATAATTTTGAGATACAACATCACAGTGAAGAGATACCTCAGAACTTAAAGGAATCAATAGTTACTCGGATTATCGTGAAATGTCTAATATTAGCCATTCTTTTCTTGAGCCTGCTTAATTTTGCACCAGCTATCCTTGCTCAAAGACTTGAAGAGCTGGACATTCATAAATATCTCTACGGGCTAATATTCGCAATACCCTGAGTAGTGCCAGTCTGATCAATTTTCCTGGTAAACTTGGTGATGAACAGACTTAATGGAAACTCAGTTCTAATTATTGGGGCAGTACTAATGTCTCTTGGATTCTTTGTAGTATCTGTTACATCAGTGCTGTTTTTTCTTCTAGGCATCTCAATGCTTGGATTTGCTGCTCCTTTCACCATTCTACCTCTTTTCCCACTAATGCGGAATAGCTTAAAGAAGGATTACAGAAACTCAAGCGAGGCTATTAATGTATTATCTGGCTTGTATAATGCTGCCCTGGGTATTGGAGCAATAGTAGGCCCACTGATTGGATCTAACCTTTACTATTATTTTGACTTCTTCATAACTGCCTTCGTGCTTGGAAGCTCTTGAATCCTCCTAGCAACGGTGTTGTTCTTTAGTGGAGGATGTAGTTCAAATGAAGCTGGAATAGAATCATCAGAACTAAGCGAACATCTAGGAATGATCAATGGTTCTTTTATAGAACCCAACATACTTTCTATACCAAGCACCAATAAACTTGATCGTAAAAATAAGTATCCGATCTAAATGCTTCTTTCAGTTGCTTCACCATTATACATATACGAAAAACTCCAAAACTAAGTTATCTCAATCAATGTGGTTATATAGGGGTTTTGGGGTTTTGGGGTTTTGGGGTTTTGGGG